CGATCGCGCGGTTCGTCACGATCCGACGGAGATCGATTCGGGGGGTCGTGTCGAATCGGAAAGGTCGTTCGCTCGGCGCTCTGTTTACCCGGGGTTAAGCCCGGCTCGGCTCGCCTCGACTACGGCGCGGCGGCATTATGGCCGGCCGATTGCGGCTGCGACGCGACGGTCGCGCGAAGACCGGGGCTGGAAGGATCGCGGGCACGACTTAACGATCCTTTTGATCCTAACAAGTGGAAGTGGCGGCGTGAAAGCGCGGCGGTACCGCCGGGACCGCCGATTATTGGCTACTCGTAGCAATAGCCGCGGCGCGGCGGAACGCTGAAAAGTGCGAGCGAGCGAGCGGGCGAACGCGGCCGCTCCGGCGGAACCGGGGCAATAAATAAGCGGCCAGATCGGCGCAATTATGTGGCAGATTAACATCTATGACCACGGTGTACAGTTACGGCGGGTTCGCCGCGTGCGCGCGGGCGCGCATGACAGTCACGAGATACAAATGCGCGCGCGCACGTATGTGCGCGCAGGTACCGCGAGCGCATCGAGCCGCGGGGGAAACGAGCGGCCCGGACTACTACCATGGTAATGGTACAGACGGACAGCGGACGAAATCCGCGTCCGGAGATGAGAACGGCCGCAAGGCGAGCGGCGAGGAGAGACAATCGCGCGAGCGAGGACCCGCGGGATGCTTGAGCAGAGTGGAAGCTCGGGGCCGGGGGGAGGGGGGGTTCTGGGCCGAAGGGATTTCGAGCGTGCGACGCGCGGGTTGGAGGCTGCGGTCAGGGAGACCGGGAATTGGGAAGCGTGAATCGGGAGGAAGATAGCGAGCATGTCGGAAAGAGCGACAGCAGACTCGGAATTGCGCGACGACCGAATGATGAGAGCCGAGAAGTAGAAATTCGCGACGAGGATCGGAGGAATCGATACTTGTCTGATGCTATGGATCGCGACGCACCTGCGGATACATCGCGCGCGATGTCACGTAAATGTCGGCTGCCGCGCGTGCGTTATATAAAGCGATAAGCTCTTATTAATTATCCGCGGCACGTCAACGGTGCGTTACGCCGGGCGAAAGTCCAGCCTATCTCCGGCGGAGACGTCGTAACTGCCGAACGAACGGTCCGTTAGTCAAAGTTTTAGCCGGCGACTCGTTGCTTTCACTTTTTAATGATGCGACGAGGAGGAGACGGCGACCCACGCGCGACTGTACGTGCAGAAACGGAACGCCCGGAACGGGATGGCTTTTTGCACGAGATACCGCCGCTCGGTTTCCTGCTCGAAACGCGGATTTCTCTCTCCTCCCTCCTCCCCCTTACCCTCTCTTTCTCTCTCTCTCTCTCTCTCTCTCTTGATGCGAGGCGTGTTGCCTTCTCCAATGTGTTGCCGCTTGAAATCACCACCGTGTCCGCGCACGATGAGAGCGTTTTCTTTAATTACGAGGCCGGCTTCCGGTCCGACCGATCACCGCGCATCACGGTGCGGTCATTAAAAAATTACTGTTTAATTACTGTAAAAGGTTTAACACGTACGAATATGCGTACGTAGGACGCGCGTTACATGCACGGTATGAGAACTCGGTTGCATCGAACAACTCGGCTGCACGCGCGCCGTTTCCAGAAAAATGCACAGACGCGTTACGTGTTCTCTTCTCTCTTTTTCTTTTCTCCATTCAGCGATACTTGTAACGGAACATCGACGAGCACTTACTCCCTTCTCCAGAGGATTTAGACGCGAATCGTTACTCACGCGATAGATCCCGATTTCCCGCTTCTTCGTAATTCTCCCTCTTTCCTTTGTTTCTTTTTTTCTCAACACTCCTCTTTCTACACCGTGGAGAAAGTCAAGCTTTTATTATCTCTGTCGGTCTCTGTGCTCTTGCTATACGATAGTCACGCCCATGTATAAAAGGGAGAGAATAATACGGATGGCTCGATAAAGGGAGAAGGAGGAGGAGGAGGGCGCGAGGAGGCCCGCCCGTCTGTTACGTCAATTTTGCGAAAAAGTTTTACGAGTAATCGACCGGTAATTCCATAGTTTCCCGCGCAATAAATATAGCCAGAGACGTGGCGCGGGACTATCCTCGATTTAGCTTTTTAATAATTCTCCTTTTCCCTCTCCTCCCGTCACTCCGCCTCTCGTCCGCGTCCACCGTGCGCCCATCCCTACCACGCCGCGCCGAGGGTTCTAGAAATTACATTACGTGCGTGAGATCGAGGAGGAAATCTCGGAGATAGCCATTGTAATAAAGATCGCCGCGTTGCCCGACCACGCTCGTGCACATCTTCCATTTTTCATCGCAATGTGCGCGCGCGCGCTTGAGCACAGTGTGTGTACACGATATACCTTACTTACATACCTACCTACCTACCTACCTACCTACCAACCTACCTACCCTTGCATAGGTCTCGGGGGTCTCGATTTTTAGCGCCTCGAGAGTCCGGTTCGTATTTAAAACTCGAACCTGCCCGTGAGATATTACTTTGTGCTTCGTTTTCTGATTCGTAGATACACAAACCGTGCAATTTCGTGCGTCTCACGCGCGCGCTTTCAACGGTCTCACGAAGTCCCATATACGACGTTCACGCAATCTTAATGTGCACCGTCGGAATAATCGCGCGACGTTCATCGTATGACGTGCCGCGCGCAATCCGCTTGTGAATCATCGCGGGAGACTCGCGATACACCTGCGAGTTCACGCGAGTAACGCCGACGAGGCACGCCAAGGAGTATAGAATCGCGTCCATCCGTCTTGCACTTCAGAGAACTCGCAGGAACGGGGGATACCCAACCACCTATATACCTGCCTCGCTTCCGCCGTCGCGCGACGTGCAAGACCGTTTTCGTCAAAGCATCGTTTGCGCGAAATTCACTTTTTTCACCGCTTCGGAACAAATTGATCTGCTCGGGTCCGCGAGTAGCGGCCGATACTCTCTCTCTCTCTCTCTCTCTCTCTCTCTCTCTTTCTCTCTCTCTCTCTCTCTCTCTCTCTAAAATACATGGAGGCCGTGCGTTCCGACGATGAACAACGAACGAGTGTACGAAGAATGAGAGATGAAGAGAGGGAGAGAGAGAAGCGGCGACGCGATGTAACGACGGTGCGCCGGGCGTAAGCACGTAATCACGTACGCATTGTGCTAACTCGCAAATAATGAAAGCCGGGAGCGCAACACCTCGTGAATCCTACACGCGCGAGCGCACGCACGCACGCACCCACCCATCCACCCACCCGGGTGAACGCGTGCTGCACGCGCGAGAACGGGAGCGAGAGAGAGGGAGTGAGAGAGAGAGAGAGAGAGAGAGAGAGAGAGAGAGAGGAGGGTAGAGGTGAAACCGCGCGAAGAATAGCGGATCCGACGAGCTATACTTCGCCGCAAATAAGCCGTAATGCTCGCATCTAGCCTGGGAGAGAGATGCAGCTCGTTTCAGGAATAATTCGAGGGTAACGCCGATGGGCGACAAGGCGACTTCGGGATTACTGCGTTAGGGGAGACGTTGTGATGCTTGGAGCATTGTTATTCAAAGGCGCGATTAAACGTGCACCGTTATTGCACACTCGACGTGCGTCGATTAGTAATATTGTAATAAATAAAAGACGAACAATTACGAGATTTGCGATCGCATAATTTTCTCGGGCGATCATTTTTCTCCTTCCTTCTTTTATCTTCAATAATTTGTACTTACATTCGTTGTGTTGTGCCAGAGGGAGGATATTGCTTTGAGTGAAAAATAAATAAGTGGACAAGTGAGAAAAATAATAAATTGGAGAGAGAGCAGCGATTAAACTGCATTGACTCTCACGGATCCGGCAACGTTTCTCTCATGATTGGAAATCTCAAGAGCCTTCAAACAATCATCAAGGGTCTTGTCCATATCTGACGGATATCACGAAAAAGTCTCGCGATCTCGCCCGATTTCTCGCTTTCGATGAGAAGAGAGCGAACGTTTTCACGTTTCCTCAGGAAGAGAGGGGGAATTTGATCTGGAACATTGATTGCCGTGCATCGATCGGCGACTCTGGAGATTCGAGTCACTCGAGACTGCGAGACAAGCAATAGCCCGGGAAAGTTCGAGTGACACGTCGTAGCTCGCGCATGCGAACGCCAAACTGCGGAGACCATTGCAATTATTGCAACTATTTTGCAACGCCACTCGCCTTTTCGCCGGCGAGATATGCCCGGAATGCCGATCTACCGCGAAATCGCGATTTCGTTCGCGCGTGAGCACAAGAAACTGGGCGATAAAATCGCGGCGATTTCAGGCCATCGGCACGCCCATCGGCAGTAACCAGCCGTTCCAGTGTCGAGCGCGGATTGACACTAACGCGATCTGCAAAACTGCTTTTTCACGTGGAATGGAAAGCGCGCGCGAGCGCGCCGACACCCGCCGTCGCTCGTTTTCACCGCGATTACGCATAAATAAAAGCACACGGCCGGCGACTAATGTACGCGCGGTGCAGAGAGAGAGAGAGAGAGAGAGAGAGAGAGAGAGAGAGAGAGTCGCAGTGGCCCTGAGATACGAGATCTCGCGGACCCATCATCGCCGTGCGCCGTTTCGTCACGTCGATCAGTCGCATTCAATGCGATCAAGATCTTGACTTTCTCATTCTGCAATATATCTTTTTTCTTCCGACTGAAAGTATCTTAGCATGCGGGGGGGGATATTTCAAATTTTGCATGATATTTTATTAATAATAAATGTAATTTTATTCAACCGTGTGAAGAGGAGAGGAAAATATACGGAGAAATATTAAATGACGAGGAATCGCGAGTCCTGCGAAAGAAACACGGGCTTCGAGTAGCGTTTACGTCTCGCGATGATGCTTCTTAATGGCATAAAAATGTAGCGACAAATTTCCGCATTTCCCGCGGCACACACAATCGCGTCCCCACGGTAGCAAAGTGTTTAACATAGATCTCAACACGCTGATCTTTTGTCATTTGCGTGTTGCCTCTCGTTGCATCACCCGTATACGCGTTGTTAATGTCATTCATTTCTGATTTCAGGTAAGGAAGCGTTTCCATCAGCGTCTCGGAACCGCGCGCGAGTGTGCTTGCGGAAAATTACATCACCGGTCGTGACTGAGCGGAACGCCGCTGTGCTCTTAGAGCGGCAAGATTACAAAGTTACACGGCGAACGGTAGAGAAAGAGAGGGGAAGAGAGAGAGAAAGAGAGAGAGAGAGAGAGAGAGAGAGGCCGCTGAATTTCTAAGACGCAGGTAAATCACGCGACAGAGCGAGAGAAGCATGTTTTAAGGCTAAATTGTTGACACACAAACACACTGACATGTCGCGCGGAGGATCGCGCGCGGCAGCGAGATTTCGATATAGCTGCAGGCTTTTTTCCATTTGCCACTTGCGGTCGCACTCCGTCATTCCACTCTTTCGAAATAACTATGCGATAAGCCTCTCTCATCACAGACACAATTCGCGAATGGTATATGTAACACCTACTACACCTGCTCGTCCGCGACTTTTCCGCGTGCATTATTTCTCTCTTCTTTCGTAACGCGAAGCAGGCAGGCTATACATTGTTACGCTGCAACATTCGCACTATTTCAGGCCGCGTAATTAAGATTACATAAATGAAAGGGTAATCGAGCAGTGTGGGGCCCGACTGATCCCAGCATGCGCCCGACGATAGCATCGTTGGGCAGAGGAGCGCGAGCATTTCTGGGGTTAATATTTCCACGCGCGTGGAATCTCGGGGTCAAAAGATTAATGCCGTGGCCGGAAAACGCAATCGCCGCGGTCAGCATTGGGAAACGGTCTTGCCATTCGGTGCCCCTTTCTTCCCGCCTTCCGTTACCTTTCTGGTAGCGTACACGCTCATTACCGCGCGCGGGCTCTCGATATAAAGATGCTGGCCGCTTCTCCGACACGGAACAACGGAACGGTCAGGAAACATAGCCGTGCCGGATCCCATCGAGGCGCGGAACCGCCTCCGGAGCGACCGAGACCTCTTAACTCTCAGCCGAGGTTTTCGAAAGCGGTGCAATTTCGGCAGGGATTCAGATTGCGCGACGTTAGATCTTCGTCGCCTCCCTTTCGTTCGCAAGAAGAACAAGACGCCCATGTAAAGGTGACCACCGGGTCGGCCATGTTGAACGTGCGTGTCACACAAATATTTTTCTTATATCTCGAAAGGGACATTTCATTTCTTCGTTGCTGCCTGCTTGCTTCAATGTGACAAATTCCGCTGATTTATTGTTCAAATGTCAATGAAAGACATGCTTGTTGCATCACTCTTCCACCGTTTCCGTCACGATAAAAAACTCGAGCCGCTCAAGTGTCCCCCCCACCCCCGCCCCCTTACCCCCAAGCCCCCCTTGACGTCGGACGAATCGGCGAACGACTCTTCCGGCGTCGACCTGACAACTTGAATTTCCCGAGCCGCTATTTGACCTCCGCTCTCCGTCGCGATTTAATTATTTAATCATTACGCCCACCGTTCGTGTCGAGGCTCGATCGGCCGCGGCGGAGGAACGGAGAGAGAAAGAGAGAGAGAGAGACGGCGCGGCGGCCGCACTGACAATAAGAGAAACCGCGCGCCGCGCGGACGTGTGTACGTACGGCCGATCGTACGGATACCAAAGCGCTGTAGGTATGTCGTGGGTACTTATGAACGCGCGCGCGTACATACAGGGTCGCGAAGAACGAGCGAGAAGAAAAAGCACCATTGGCCATCAGCGGGCAACGTGTCGGTGCACTGGTCGGTGTATTGAAACGAACGACTGGGTTCTCGGGTTACTAACTACATCCCCACCCTCCTCGTACACTCGTCCGTCTCTTTCTCGTTCCCTTCTTTTCCTCTTTGCTCTCTGTCTCCCTCCCCTCTTCTCTCTTTCTCTATTTCTCCCTCCCTCCCTCCCCCCTCTCTCTCTCTCTCTCTCTCTCTCTCTCTCTCTCACACTCTAGCCGAGCCGGACTCTGTCTCTCACAGCGGCTTTCCTTCCGCATTCTGAAATTCCACGAGAGCAGACGATGATTTCTAATGGCGGTGCGCTACGACGCCGGCCGTGCTCCTTTCCGTTTTTCTCCGTCCGTTCTTCCTGCTCCTCCTCCTTCAGCGGCAACGCGCGCGCGAAGGATCCTCGCTCTGCCGCCCTTCTTCCTCTACCTCTGCCGGAGCGCACCTCCGGCGATCCTCTCGCGCGCTCCTCTCTCCGACTACCGCCCGTCCTCCCTCCGCCCGCGCCGCCCTCCTCCGCGAGGCGTGATCGCCGCTATTGATCCGCTATTGATCTCGTGATCCCGCAGATTAATGTAACACGGTATAATTTCCTCGCGGAATTTTTCACGCCACGTGGGAACGTCTGGCAGCAGTTTTTAGACGGCACATTGCAAGACGCGCCTACGACCGCAACGTGGACTCGCGATCTCGCGGGGATGCGGCAGGGGGATGCGGGAAAGAAATGATTTTGACTTATATCCGCGTGCGCAGCGTTCATTTAATGCGCTAGTGACAAGTATCTATCTCAACACGAGCTTGTTTAATTTCACCTCGTTTTCGAATTATTATTCTGCATCATCATGTTACGATATATTTTTACCGTCTCAGAGTAACAGAGTGCACAAAGACGATTACGTCGTTCGTGGACTTGATTGTTCATCTTGCTCTCTCCGTTCTCTTTACTCCTCCTCGTCTGTGAGATGAGGAGAAATCACTGAGCAAATAAAATCCCAAGCTCGATCGGGAAGGTCACAAGTTGCAATCGTCGCGACCGCGATCGCTCTTCGCTCGTCTCGGATTGCTGGCGGATTTCGCTCACAAAACGGCACCAAATCGAAATTCCCGTCGCACTCGCACTCGACCCTGTTACATCCGATTGTCTGCATGCACCGGGCTGACCCAGAGAAAGAGAGAGAGGAGAGAGAGACCAATTGCTGCCGCGGACAATACCTCCGTGTCCGTTTGCAAAGTGCGTAATCACGGTCGATCATAATAAGGATCGGTGCGGTGTGCATGCACCGAGAAAGTGTGTCATCATTTTTGCGAGGCTGCCTTAAACCTACACAGGTATAATCCTAGACTTTCTAGACTAAACTCCGTTCCACCTGTAGCGCCGTAGTCCAAGGTCAATGTCGTTTATGATCACGAGTGACCTTCGTCACTGTCGATGTCCGATAGCTCGTGAAAGCCGCGGAAACGAGAGACTCGGCCGCCGTTTAGCTCCTTCGGCCTCGCGACCGGCGCCATATGGCGTAATTTTTCCGCGCCGAGAGTAGGCAAGCCACTCGAGAGACTCGTCTCGTCTCGTCTCGTCTCGTCTCGTCGTCTCGTCTTCATCTCTCTCTTCCTCTCGATAAGTAAGTTTTCGACCAACATCAGCCTTGACGATCCATTTCGACGCAGGTTGCTCGATCATTCTTTGAATTTCTCATGCGTTTCGCATTGAACGAAATTCTCGAGTAAAAATTTCAATTGAATGTTACTGGAGAATGTCAACGAAGAATTTAGTTTTAGAAGCCTTGAGTGTTGACATTTGAATTGGATCTTGTTCAGGAATTGAACAAAATCCTCTTGAATAAAGATTTGAATTGGACGTTATTGGCAAATTTTCACGAAGAAAATTTATCGCGCCCGCGTAGAAATTTGATCTTGCAGCTGACAGTACAATATCGAGGACGACGAGGCCGATCCGAGACGCTTGAGAGACAGTGGATTCTCGCAAATTGACCTCTGTGAAAGAAGCGGCGACTCGTACATTGGCGTGAACGCGCTCCAAAAGGATTCAATGTTACTCGCGGCGGAATCAATTCCCGCCGGGACGAATCCGGAGACTTTTTGCGGCGCAGAGACAATACTTTACTGTGAGAATTAGCCGGGCTCGATTTCGTGAAACGGTCTCCGTCTCGTTCTTTCCTTATCCCTCCATCTGCCTCTCTCTCTCTCTCTCTCTCCCGCTCTTTCTCAGGACCGCTTCACGGCGTTTTACACGACGATAGTTTTCGACGAACGGCCGCGTTATTACATGCTTAAAATCATTTTCTACCTTGGCACGCCGCTTACAGCGAATCTCGATGCTGCCCGAGGCGAATGCCTGGCATTCCAGGCCTTGCACTCGGCAGAAATTCTCCGGCTCTCTTATCGAGTCCAAGGATGCGAGAAACGGCCGTCTGATGAGTTTCACTCGGTGTGCTTTTGGGTCGGGCGACATTTTCCCGCGATTCTCTCACGTGTCGCTCGCGCGTTTCGTCTCGCGACCTCCTCTCGCACGCACATTTTTAACGACCGCGACTCTACAAACCCCTTATTACGTCAACTCTTTATCCGCACGCTGCCGACGAAGTCGAGGCATAACTGGCCGCAGGGTTTCTTAAGATCAAATTTTGCAATTCAATTCGTATCTTTACACGGTCGCCTTTCGACACTTGACGCAATTATCTCGCGACAAGTCAAATACTCGATTCCGAGTGCATCTGAAAGCAAGCTGTTGCACCCCCATTAGGATGACATTTTTAAGTACTTTTACGCAAACGTCCGATTATCCGTGAGACGAGGAGATTTCAACGCGCAGCAATCTCGCCGCAAGCCGCGAGATCGTTAAACGCACGCTCGGCAGAAATTCTCTTATCGAGCCCAAGGATGTCAGGAACGGCTGCCAGATGAGTTTCATTCGCGAGGCATCTGGGTCAACCGCATACGCGCAAGTGCACCATGGCGCGCCCATTCCACATTTCCACCTGTGTGAGCGTATGCTCCAACGGCTTTCGTAGATGCCTGAAAACCCACGACGGATTTATTTCGCGGCCGAGCGCACGTGCGCGCGACTTTCCGACATGTCGACGGTGAGCAATTTTTTCGGAGGAGAACAAACGAATACGCACCGCACGCACGATTTTACCTTTCGTATTAGAAGAAGTTGCGAAACTTTTCGGAGTTTTGATCATATAATTTTGTTTTTATTCACACGCTTTGCACCGTAACGATCGCCGGCGATCGGCGCTGCGTTGCATCCGATTGAGTCGCGTATAGAGTTACATCAAACACGTATGACCGATTTAATTTAATTTAATAATTTCACAGCTGCATCAGATTAATTCAATTTAGCAGTTGTGTCAAATCAATTGCAAGTTACTATACAGCAATTAATGCGTCTGAAAAATAGACTGTACAGCCAAGGGGAGCGCAATGAGAGAAAGTGGGGAAAAATCATCGGCGCACCGATAAACTTCCGCAAGCCTTCGATGCATTCGGTGCTTGATTAATTCCAAA